CAGGACTAACCGGTTAGCTCGTTCCTCAAAATCGATAAAAACCGGTTAAAACTAACATTAAAATATAATTAAAATTTTAGTTTTAAAAGATATATATAAAAAACCGACTTAACCGTACAGGTTTCAGGTCGAATCGCGATTTTTTCTGAGTTTGACTGGACTTTACAAAATCTAATTTTTTTTATAGAAACCGGACCAGTGAAACTTCAAGTTCCCGGTATAATCGGTTCGGCCACCAGGGCCGGTCCAATTTTCAAAATATAGAGCAAAGGCAATGTCTAGATAATCATAGGTACCTTAACGAATAGATTTTCTGGTCGGTGTGCTAGAGCGATGTCGTGAGTCTTCATAAACTCTTTCGCGGCCCGAGCGCTTGAGACCACAATTGCATACATTTGGCCGAGTTATAAGTGCATGATTTGGCCGTATTTATTGGAAAAGCCTGTCATAGCTCTATGTGGAAGTGAACCTGCCACGAAGAAATGATATATGCTTCCGATGATGGGTAACTTCCATAGACCCGGTGGCAGTTTGGGACAACATGACACATCTCCTCTTGGTTTCTTCTTTAACTTTTGTAGTCTCAATCTCAATGAAAAGAAAAAGAGAATGGAAGTGATGAAAAAAGATGACAAAGTTAGCTTCATCATGTGATGTTTAAAAGTTATAGTATTTGATTTGGTTTCTGATGCAAAGTATGGAAGCCTTTATAGAATCAAGAATTTGAACCTCTTATGTAAAATAAGTCCTCATTTAACGAACATTATCCTTCTTCAAAAAAATAAAATAAAACAAAATTATCATTAATTTATTTAAAACTTAGTTATGATGGGGATACGTATATATCTTTTCCATTTTTTCATTTTAGAGTTTTGATTTAACAACATTTAATGTTCGGTCGTTTGTTTAATTAGATTAGGATAAAACTCCAAAACAAATTTTCAAAATGGGAACTACTTTAGATGATAATCTGTTTTTAAATTATTTGACGAAAGTAAAATAAACGAAAGTAACATTAATTATTTAATGTAGTAAACAAAATTTAAATACTATCCCCTCAATAAAAGGAGGGTAAAGATGGTATAAATCTGATTCTTACAACTTGAAAAAATTAATAGATTAATATCAATTGTCAGCCCCTATTAAACAAAATCCCCTCAATAACAGGAATTATGTTTATTTTATCCCCTCAATCAGATCTATTAAATCAAAATTAATAGATTTAACACCAAAATACGTTAAAAAAAAGTAATGGAAAAAAGATTCAAACCTTCAAGTCTTGAGCATGTCAGAGTAATAATATTTACAAAACTTGAAACAAAAGGGAAAAAAGAAGAACATAAACCAAGAGTATATTAGAAGTGATTAGTGTAGTGCACCGTAGCGGAGTAGATTATATTAACTGCAAAGCAAATTCTCTCCTTCTTTTTTGACCATTTTATTTTTCCTGCACCATTCGGAACCCAAACATAAAGAAATAATCAATGCACAAAACTCACTTTGTAATAATCCAAAACGGGTTTGTCCGAACTTTAGCGCATTCTCACCTTACCATTTCATCCGTATTCTGTGAAAATATTAATTGATCAAGTTAATTGAGTCTTGAAGCTATTATGGCACAGATGATTTTGACGATGAATGATTGAAACTGTATGAGCAGGGATGATTTTGATGTTAGGTGACCGAAAATATACTAATCATTTCAACTCAAAGATATATGAATGGTCAGAATATATCGACATCGACAGCAATACAGCCACCGGTAGCAAGAAAAATCTGTCGTGCCTATTGATTAGGCAATAAGAAGAAGTGGCGAATTAAGTATAGATCACAAAAGCAGAACAGAGAGAGAGAGAGAGAGAGAGAGAGAGAGAGAGAGAGAGAGAGAGAGAGAGAGAGAGAGAGAGAGAGAGAGAGAGAGAGAGAGAGAGAGAGAGAGAGAGAGAGAGAGAGAGAGAGAGAGAGAGAGAGAGAGAGAGAGAGAGAGAGAGAGAGATGAGATTAAAAATATAAATTTAAAATCGTGTAGGATAGAGGTTCTATAAGAGACAATTGATTTGAAATCGTGAAAATCAACTTACCAAAAAAAATCGTGAAGATCGAATCAATTTAATTTTAAAATTTATTTCATGATTAATACATATTTATTATCTTACACTTATCTTTGCCACATTTTATTATTGATTTGAAATTCAAATTTGTTTCTATTATCTTTTGAAACAAAAATAACCTTAAAAAAAAAAATAAAAACAAAACTCTAACACTCTTCCTTTTCTTCTTTCGACCGCACTCTTCTTCTTTGCCACCGCCGCCATAGAAAAACTCTAAAACAAAGCCATGTAGCTCTGAATGGTATTGACACATAATATTCTCTTGTGCTGCGCCTAGTTCAACGCTACTTTATTAGTTCGCTCGGGCACAATCGGCGGCGGAGGGACCGGATTTGAAGAGGAAGCGCCGTTCCTCGAAGAATTTGGCATCAACACGAAGCAAATTGATCAAAATTCTCAATCCTTAAAAAATACATGTTTGAAGCAAGGAGGCTATATCAGATTTCATGGAGATCTGAATTCATCACCAGTATTGAAGGTACCATCAGCGGGGTTGTTATAATGAAATCACATGTTACCAGTGATAATTTTCAGTGGAAAATAATAGTCACAAGTGATGTCGGAGAATATGTCGAAGAGAGAACTTTCAACAACAACAAAATAATAGCCAGTGAAGACAATTTCAGGGAATCAAACGGGTCGTAGAAATTAGTTGTCGGAATCATTCTGGAGCTAAGGCGTTCATATTGTCTGCCAGAAATTTATTTATTGTTTAAGTTACGGTCAATAGTAAACAAAAAAGATATAATTATTTAACCATTTAACTGAAATATATTTGTAAATATAAAAATTTAACTATTTTACTGTTAAAAAATTACTGTGAAACCTATTAGTATCCTACTCGAACGACACGTGTCACAGAGAAAAAATTCCTTTCATATATATTTAAGACTCCTTTATAATCACTCACATATAATAATGAAGGTGTTTGTAAATATATATTAAAAATAAATTCCGTATAAGTCATCTCCTCTTGCATACTACAAAAAGATGAAAATTTGGAGAAAAAGAACTACTAAGAAAGAAGAAAATTATCTCAAAAAAACGGAATTGAGATGTAATTGTAATCGAAAGAAGCCAACTCTTGTTCGACTGAAAATTAGACTTATTTTAATTTTTTTTAGCGCTACAAATGCTCTTGCATTGTTATCTGAAGATGATATGGATCGTAGCCCACTAATTCGTAACAAAGATGGCCCAATAATTTCTTATAGGGGTTTTCATACAGCATTAAGGTTCTCACCCCTATTCTTAAAATAGATACCCAAAACTTTGTTGCGGTTTAGACAAGTTAGAGTTTTACCATTTGCCACACCTTTTTGGGTCTCCACTCGCGAGAGAGATGCCAAAGAAGTAATGGGTGGTGCTTGCGCACTATTAATCGCGAAATTGACAATTGGATTCTTATTTCTGATACGAAAAATAAATTAAAACTTACCGATAAAAATTAATTAATTGATGTACAAAGTTTTAATTAAATAACTCGTATGCAGCCCATCACAGCAAGCAAAGTGCAAAATACGAGTAGAGTTTTCCTTCAAAAATAGTATCCCCTTCTCCGTTATGACTTATGAGTCCAAATCAGAAAGAAAAAAGGGTAATGTTTTTGCACTATGAAGGTGATAATAATTTTTTTTTTTTTAAAAAACTTTGTATTTAAAGAGATTCATCTAACATTCTTTTTGTGAATCTTATTTTCTGCATCGTATTGTTTACAAAAAGATAAAAATAAAAAGTCAAATTAGTGTCAATTCGTCTAGCATCTTTAAATTGAGTCATAGATGAGTTCACCCTAAAGATTTGATAAACGTACAAGAAAGAGGCCGTGCATTTGGTCGTTGATCAATTATGAACTTTCTGTCTCACATTGTGTTCGACATGCATTCATAACGAAATGTGGCTACATTTGTCACTGTTTAGTAAATCGGTCGTACTTAGTTGGAAACTAACATTTCGCCGGCAGTCTAAATACCAAACCCGCGGAAAAAGAACAGTAACCCACATTTTGTGCTTCAATCCTCTAGGGAAAATTAAGGGAGTACTTTTTGATAATTTTGTATTTTTAGGATAGAGCAAAATAAAGTACTAGTGCCTGAAGTCGTTGTTAGACTTTATATCATGTACATTTCGTGAATAAACCGCCTTTCTAACATTATATTTTTTTTAAAAAACCAATGCTTAACTTTATCGGTGTCACCGCATAAGAAAGAGCTTAGCCTTTGTGCATTAGTTTTGTGCTGCTTAACTTTTGTTTTGAAATCGTCAAAGAGGCTGCTGTTAGAGATTGCCCAAGACCATACACCTGGTTTAGTATTACCTCTGTCCCACAAAAATAATTTATATTGAATTTTTAGATTTGTATTATTTCATATCTATATTAAAAATAATATAAATTTAAAAATTTAGTGTAGACAATTTTTTTGGGACAAAATGAGTAATTTTCAGTTGTACATACGTTTTAAAAGGTACGAAAAATTTACCCAATATGTCTTATTAGCGATTATATTCAATTTAAAATAAGGCAGCACTCGTGCGGTTTAGTTTAATCATGCTCGGTAATAATTATAATAATATCCAGAAAAAAAAAAACCTGGCGGCTTTCTCTTTTTCTGTCTTTTGTTCGAACGAGAACCGGCCGGAATTGTTACAACCTTAGCACATTCCTAGAAACAGTTCTCCGCTTGTTACACGAAACTAAGCGACAAATAATTCTCCGCGTAAGAAGGTACATCCAACGTTAAAAACAACCATTTCTACACCATATTAGTCAAAATTTTACATAGTTTATGCCACAAAATTTCATTCCCCACCACCCCGAAAAAACATAGTACCTAGTACATTCTCTATATATATGTACATATGTACCTGAATCATTCAACAATTAATACTGTTTAGTCTTTGTTAATTTATCGAATCAGTTCTTAACATCGAAATGGCAATAGCCCTTCATAATGTAACAGTATTAGGAAAAACGGTTCATTTCAAAGAAAAGAAATCTTTCGTTTTGGGGAGGAAAACTAGGGTTTTATGCGGTGTTGCCATGCGAAATAGGAATAACAACAATTTTTATGAGTTGCTTTCTCTTGATCCTTCCCGGAAAAAGATAGGGTTTGATGAAATCAAGAGAGCTTATAGGAGTCAAGCTCTTAAGTTCCATCCAGACACTTGTTCTTCTTCAACAAAAGATGAGTCAACGAGGCATTTTCTCGAGATTAAAAAGGCATACGAGACGCTTTCTGATCCGATTTTGAGAGAGATCTACGACGAGGACCTCAGGTTTGGTTGTGATGGAGAGGGAAAAAGAAGGAATGGTATGATGATGGTGAAAAGAGGGAGTAAAGAGTTTTCGAGGGAAGTTTTGCAAAGGCAGCTCAGTGGACTGAAGAAGCGATCAATGGAAAGAGTGGGGAAGAAAATTCATTAATTAAATAATCCTAGTGGAAGCATAATACTATTATAAAAATGCTTTTTAATTTTTTTTTTCCCCATTTCATTCCAAATGTTAGGCCTGAAAGTGTTGTCAATTTTTCAGGTCAAAACATCTTTCATTAATTTCTTATGATTGATTAGTTCAATTTAATTAGCTCTTGATTCTTTCATAATTTTTGACTAGGTTCTTGTAATATCTGTGGTTTATGACTTTCTAACAATTGTTATTTCTAATTTTTGATATTTATAAACTGTCTTCATAATTTTCTTTACTTTATTTTAATTTACTCGACTCTAATCTACTGGACGTGGATCAACATATTAATATCCCTCACAAAGTTGACATTGATCACGAATAAGAAATTAAAATCAAGTACTTTTGAGGGAAGCGGTGCAGGTTTTTTTTAATTTTAATTTTTATTTATTTATTTTTTAAGCAGAACGAAAGGTTAGGATGATATTCGGGTTCATACTAACTCAAAAAAATTCAAAGGGTATACCTAAGAGGTAAATTTTTAAACTAGTTAGTGCAATATAGTATAATGCACCCAAAGGATGGACATATATACTATATATGTCCCTAACTCCACCCCTCCCTATATTTTTATTAATATTCCTCGAATAAAAGAATCCGACAGTGCATACAACTCGTGGTAACGATTCTAGACTTAAGTACATTGCTGAAAAACTACGATTTTTTTACCCAAAAATTATTTAAAAAAGACCCTAGACAAAAATAATATGAATCTAAATTAGGTGGACAATACTAGTTCTCTTGGATTTGCCAAATCCGAGAGTACTGCACAGTCGGATTTCGCAAATCCGAGACAACCGAAACTCGGATTAGTGAAATCCAAGACTTTAGTAACCTGGAATTACTTAAATTAAATCAACGAATTAATTTTAACTAATCAAGTGTCAGATTTCGCAAATCCGAGAGTCAGTAATAAAAAAATATTTATTTTTTGGAAAAATAATCTAAGTGTTCGAAAATAGAAGTTGACTAGAAACGAATTAGCCTAATCCGAAACATGAAAATTCGGATTTCAGAAATCCGAATGTTTATAATAAAAAATTATTTTAAATTTTAGAAAAAAAATCTAAGTGTTAAAAATAAAGTGAATAGAAATCCGAGTCCTTTTGTACTTACTCTCGGATTTGAAAAATCCGAGTTGTTTAGAAAATGGCAACTTTCGGATTTGCGTTCACCCGGGTAGTACTCATACCCACGCAAGGCACATTAAACTAAACTCTAAACTCTAAAATTTAACGTTTTGAACTAAATCGAATATTGAAAATCTAATTTTTAGTTAAATTCGGATTTTGGAAATCCGATTTTAAACTAAAATCGGATTTGAGAAATTCGTAACTAAACCCTAAACCCTAAAAGTCAGATTTTGAAAATCCGAGTTTAAGCTTGAGATAAACTCGGATTTGGGAAATCCGAAACTAAACCCTAAACCGTAAACCCTATGGCTTGATTTTGAAAATCTAATTTTTGGCTTAACTCGAATTTTGAAAATTCGATTATTTGCTTAAAAAGTACATAACACTAGTACATATGAATTATACTGAATTAATAATAATATCTAATGATTAACAGATTTAACAGTAATAAGTAAAACTAGTACCAATGGTATATAGTGGGTAATAGTATTGATGTACTACATAATACAAGTACGTATAAATAGTATATAACATTAGTACACATGAATTATACTGAATAAATAATAATATCTAATAACTAACAGATATAATAGTATAAGTAACGTTAGTATCAGTGATTATAGTGGGTAATAGTATTAATATACTACATAATAGTAGTCTATCTATATACTAAAACAGAAGGCTCTTGAACAGTAATTGTACACGTGTCCTCTTCTCCTTCCTCCATTTCCCGCCCGAACCCAATAGAGTCCGCACATGGTCATTGTATTTTCTATTTTTTTGAGTATTGATAGGTGTGCAGCTTCTTTGTGTTGGGAATGAACTGCATGCGCACCAGCTTCAATGCACCGCCACTTCAATTGATAAACGGTAATGGAGCAAATGATGGCTAATACATAGTGTTTAGCTAACCAGAATCTCCTTGTTGATTCTGTGTAGAGTTTCATGAACTTTGTCCAAGGTGATCAACCTGAATGGAAGAACAAGACTTCCCCACAACAATTAGAATCAGTAAACGCAACGGGGTATCAGGATTCGCTGCCATCACCGGGTCAAAAACCCGGTATTGAAGTACCGAGTCCTGGGAAACACTCTTACGATCCTAGGTAGAGGCTTCGATTGGGAACAAGGGGACAGACGTCTCTTCAACAGATAAAACGCTTACAATTCGGTCAACAAAGGGAATCAATAGATGGGTTCTGTGAGTCAAAGCCTTTGGTATATCCTCCGAAGCGCTCGACGATGGAGACTTTGCCTGGCGGCACGAAATGAATACCCAGATTACGGGTCGAATACCGCACTGGCCATTCGATTGGGTTCGCACGAATTCTTTGCCACATGCTGATGCCGCGGTAATGGGTGGCGAAAGCAGCGGGAAGGGGTGTATGACGAGGCGATATGTGATCGGACTGGGACTCATCCTGCTCCCGGCGGCAAATGAGTGGGGGAGGAACAGTGGAGATTGCTCGGGTAGGGGAGGAGCATCTGTGGTGGTGGTGGTGGAATTTTTGAAGCAGCCAGCGTTGATTTGGCCACCAGAGAAAGGATCTCATCAGATTCATGGTCGGATGGAGAGTTTGATTGATGAATTATGCTGCCGCGTTCGCTATTTTCTTACCGAGGGGTGAAAAGTGAAAAACTGAAAACAGCCAACCAATCTTTTGGTTTTGGTTATTACTATTTACTACTCCCTCCGTCCCATAATTATTGTCCAGTTTGGGTTTTCATTTCTAGTTCAAATTGTACTAAAAGTGAAATCTGAAACTGGACAATAATTTTGGGACAGAGAGAGTACTACTTATGTGATACAGTATTTTGATAAATTTTTTACTATGCAACAGTTATTACTGCTCTGTAAATCTGATTTACTATGAACAGTTTTTTACTAGGGGTATTATAGTAACAAAAAATGCACATCACAAGTGGTCTAATCTGACAACGACGTTTGACCTTTTTTTTTTTTTTTTTTTTTTTTTTTTTCTGAGTTTCGACTTTGGACACACTGCTATCTAAGTTGCAAACAGCTAGCTATTCCCCTTTCTTTACTTCTTTTCAGTTTTGTTTTTGTGCTGAAAAAAACTAGCTAAAGTCAGGGCAGGGATGGTCTCTTTCAAATCCTTGAATTTGTTTCCTTCTTTACTGACTTACACAGATCGTGGCCAATCGGTGACTTCTTCCTGGCCTTGAAGCTTTTGGTGTTTTGTTCTTTTTTTCCATGTCCCTTTTCAAATCCATATTTGTCTCTCTTTCTTTTACTCCATGAAACCCAGCAAAGGCCAGAGAAGTGTATATGTTTGTGCTCTCAACACATATTTTATCAAATGTCCCAAACCTACGAATAATCCCCAATTGAAATGTAATCTCCCAAACATTGAAATGACTAAGGTTACTTTTGTTTAGTGTGTGTTTTTAGGTATTTTTTGTAGTGGAAATGTAAAAAAATGTATTAGAAATGTAAAAAGGTATGCTGGAATGAGACCGTTATTATTTTATTAATCTAAAAAAACTATAAAAAAAACTAAACAAACAAAGAGTAGCAGTATCCCGTCGATTTTACTCTCTCTATTTTTCCGTTTAAACTTTCATTTTTAGTTTAAATTGTGTTAAACGTGAAATTTTAAACTGATGAATGATAATTTCGGGGCGAAAGAAGTAAAATCCCATAATGTCAATAGTTATGTCATAATTTGGATGAAAATTTTCAAATTGATTTTTCAATAAGTTTATTATAAACTAATGTATATTGAAGCCATATTTTGCTTGAAAGTTCAATCCAAACAATAAATAACTCTAAATTGTTAGCCTACGCCTAAAGTCGTTTTGTTTTGATCTGAAAGTGATTGGGGGGACAGTATCTTGAAAACAAACTAAGGCAATCCAATAAATTTATTTTGCTCATACATAAATAACATACCCAACCAATTTTCATAACTCATGCAGGACCTTCAAAGTCCTAATGAACATTTTGATCTTTTCTTTTTTCTTTTTTTTTTTCGGTTTAATAAACAAATTTTAAATTTATACACAATTCACAATATGATGATGATGGAGTCAATAAAATAAAAAAGAATGGATATAATATATTTTTTTGGTACAAAGAATTACAAAAAAATATGAAATTACGGTCCAATTTGGAGAGAGAAAAGTTGTACACTTTTACTTACTCTGTCAGTCTCTCTGTTTCACGTAACAAAACAAAGACTGTCCTTTCTAATCAATCACCCCAGCCAAGACCACCATGAACGTTCTAAGGTGCTGATGAGTCATAAAATAAACCCTAATCCTAATGGATTTGGGCTACCTTGGAGGCTAAGTCACCGCCTAAACCTAATACGACTAGGTTTAAGGAAACACGTAATACTACCTCTATATAAGGAGGTGGTGCCTCTCCCATAATACACATCATATACACGATACACACACCTCTCTCTCTCTATTATCTTTCTATTCTTTATTGACTCAAGCATCAGAGAGTCTACCCTCGGGAGACACCCGAGGCTCTGTCTTGCAGGTTTTAGGCCGTCCGCCTCTACCTAGATCATCATCACCGCCCGTCCTGAGCACCGTACAGATTCCATGCGTCGTCAAGTGGCACGCCCGGTGGGACCGATTTTTTTGGTCTTCACAACCAAATTTTTTGAAATGAAGTTGAAATTTGTTGGTGCTCTATGCTGTGCAACATCACCAGCACCATGCAGCACAAAGAAGAATTCAACCAAGAATTAATTTTGAAACAATGGGCAATTTCAAAGATTGGAGTCTTGAGAGATACATCTCCTCGAAGGGGCAACTATCCCTTGATCACCTTACTACTACTTGAAGTATTCGAGAAGACGTATCTCGACTTTTATCTACTCAATAACTATCTTCTCGGAATCGAGGTAACACTTTCTTGAATAATTAATTTATCTC